AGGAAGGAAGGAAGAAAGGCAGGTAGGAGAAAGTGAAGAAAAGAAGGGGGAGGGAGGAGGTGAGAGGAGAGAAGAAAAGCACAGGAAGAAAGAAAGGTGGTAATAAGGAAGGGGGAAAGAAGAAAATGGATAAAGGAAGAAAGGAAATAAAGGAAGGAAGGAGAAAGAAGGAAATTAAGGGAAGGAAGGAAATTAAGGGAGGAAGGAAGGAAGGGAAGGAAAGAGAAAGAAAAAAATAAAGGAAGGATTGAAGGAGGAAAGAATGGAGGGAAGGATGAAGGGGGAAAGAAGGGAAGACAAGCAGGGAAGAGGAAGGGAAGAAGAGGGAGGGAGTAGATGAGAGGAAAGAAGAAAAACATGGAGGAAGGAAAGAAAGATGGAAGGAAGGAAGAAGGAAGGAATTATCTGATAGATACATACAGTAGATATATAAATGGTGACATTACCCAGAAGCTCCAGTCGGTGTTCCATCCGCCGGGTGTCCGGTCCAGTCCGGAGCTCAGGGACTCCTCTGATGACAGTTTGCTGATTGTGTCCAGATCATCATCCGGAACCTACACACAGGGCAATGAGAGGACAGTGAGAGGACAATGACACCCCTCAGCCTCCAGCCACAGCACAGATATAATTGATAGAGATTCTTCTCACCTATAATATCTGTATGTATTCCGGACTCTGGCACTATGTGTGTTCCTGTATCAGCTGGGTCAGATTTCCCACAAGGCCAACCGAGGCCCGGCCTCAGGGCAGCAGGGAGTAGAGGGGCAGCAAGGGTGTGGAATTCCTATCTCCCGATGCCCGGGACATGCAGTTCTGGGCACAGGGCGGGTAGTTTGGGCAAGCCGGGCTAAATGTACAGCGGGCAATGTTGTCGAGATCACTTGTATGCAGCCTGCATACAGGGGGGCGCATTGAGTAACCTGGCATTGGGGCAGCAGGATACAGATGTAAGGAATGTCACTGAGGTACTCCATGCCTCACCCCCCAATGACTTCCCTAGTCTCATCCTCGTGCTGCAGACATCAAGAATCCAACCCGGACAGCCTCCTACCTGTAGTATGAGGGGCTGCTCATCACTCTGCTCCGGCCCCCTCCTCTCCGGCGTCATTTGGCGGCACAGCGGCCTCTGCTGGCGAGAGGCGGCACAGCGGCCTCTGCTGGCGAGAGGCGGCACAGCGGCTGATCACTTTTCTTGGTTTACTGGAAGCAATTCATAGCAAGTCAGCAGCAATTCGAAGCAGCCCAGAAGTGTTTCAAAGCAAGTCAGAAGCAATTCAAAGCAGCCTAGAAGCAATTCCAAGCAAGCCAGAACCACAGGGAAGCATACTGCACTTGAGTTGTTTGTGAGTCCCTGCGGCCAGTGTGCACAGCCCCAGTTCACACATACAGAGGGGACTGTCCCTTTTTCCGCACCAGACAAATGCCAGTCCCCACCCCTGTCAGATTTTCCTTCACTTCCTGTCTGGTGAAACCCGTTGTCAGTAGGACAGAAAGTGAGCAGAAATCTCTCTAAGGTAGCCGCGGAGAGCAGCAAACACTCGGCAGGAGTTCTGACTCTTCCCGGCTCCCAGGGCCGGATTAACATAAAGGCAGGTGGAGCTGCTGCTCCAGGCCCACCCCTAAAAATAGGCCCGGCCGACCGCCTTGATATTCAGGCATATTAGAGGGCCGCTTGCTCCTCACTAGGGCCCCGAGTGGCCCCCTAATATGCCTGAATAGAGGGCCGCCGTTAATGGGTTGCCACAATTTTTTTCAAGCCAAACCCGAACCTTCTAGTGACGCACAGACATCTTTGGGGGGGAGAATGAGTCGCAGTTTATTCATAAGTAAATAGCTCCACCCATTCGTATATAAATATCACAGTGGAGACTATTTTCAGTGGGGGGCCAGTAGCCCCTATCTTAATTTTGGTTGCCCCCGTCTGCCTGACATCTTGTGTCTGGGTTTCTGCTGCCATGAAACCCGGACACAGCATTTAAATCCCAGACTGTCCGGGTGTAACCTGGATAGGTGGCAACCCTACCCTACCTCGCCGACCCGGATACCCAAGAGGTCCCAGCGAGCGGTGTTCTTTCGAGAATGCTGACCCAGTCGGATTTGCCGACCTCAACATCTGTGCTTGCGCACAGACGGGATTAACGAGGAAACTGATTTATTGACAAAGTATTAGTTTGTAATTGTTAATTGTGACCGTTAATAATATGTCATCCATGGCAATAAATGATGTAATTGCTTTCGATGTTGTGAATGTGCATAAAATGCCACCCATCATTTACTGCCACCCATCATTTACTGCCATCCATCATTTACTGCCACCCATCATTTACTGCCACCCATCATTTACTGCCATGGATGGTATAATATTAACGGTCACAATTAACAATTACAAACTAATACTTTGTCAATAAATCCCCATTTCCTCGTTAATCCTGTCTGTGTGACCGTGTCTGGCAAATCTGACTGGGTCGGCATTCTCGACAGAACAGCGGCCCTCTAAAATGCCTGAATAGAGGGCCACCGCTGCCTGATTGCCGCAGCAGTCCTCCTGGCATAACTTGTGAGCCCGCACTGACCACCCAGAGCCCGCACTGACCACCCAGAGCCCGCACTGACCACTGCACGGACCACCCAGAGCCCACACTGACCACCCGGAGCTTGCACTGGCCACCTGAGAGCCGCACTAACCACCAGAGAGCCAGCACTGGCCTCACTTAGAGCTGGTAGAGCCACCCCTGAAACCCTACACAGCCCTCCTGAGACCCTTGAGACATGAGGCCGTGAACCCAGAGCAACATAAGAGTATGTAGCTTCATAGTATTCTGCATTGCCGTACAATGTATTGCTGGGATTTGTAGTCCTCTATAGCTAATGGTATTATTCTGCATTGCTGTAAAATATATTGCTGAGATTTGTAGTCCCTCTACAACTTGGAGTCAGTGGCATCTACAAGGGTCACAGCTGCAGTCAGGCCCTGGCGCTCCACCACTGACTCCAAGCTGTAGAGACTACAAATCACAGCCCGGACAGGAGGAAGAGGGCCCTTGTGACCGTCGACATTTCCATAAAATGGCCCCACTAAAATCCTCAGCACCAGGCCCGTGATGCTCTTAATCCGGCCCTGCTCCATGCAAAACCTCAGCAGTTGATAAAGAGCTGAGTCCCCAGGAGAAAACCCGCTATAGAAATCTATCGAGCAACAAAAAAACAAGAAAGGAGCGCTACAACCTGAAAAGAATATGACGTAATAAAGTTAAATGTTTGGTGGTGGGTGTGGGAAAGGAGTCACTCACTGTGGATGGTCTTTCTGCTGGAAAATGGAACAATGATCAGATATGTGCGGGAAAAGGTTTTCATTCACGGTGGAATGATATCTGCACCAAAGGATGTGAATGGTGCCTGGTGGATGCGGAGATGTTAGGCAGAGGGCCGTACTTGCAGAGGGCCGTACTTGCAGCTGTCACTTTGAGTGTTGAATCCCTTGTGGGTAAAGATTGGACTCGGCTGGCCAGGCTGAGCCGTGACCGCTGTCCGAAGTGAATCCGTGCCGCTAATTATTCTGCGGTGCTGTGCTGCTGCTTGTGATGGGAAAAATCGTCCAAGAGGGGAAGTCAGAGCGGGGGTGCAGAGTTATACTACACCCGCAGCGGAGTGATGGTAATGGGGCTACGTGTTTGGAGGCAGTGCCTTTGTCAAGCCGGGAATAAGAAATTGTGCAGAAGCCTGCATGTTCCACGTGAGCTCAGGGCCCCCCGGCCCCTTCCGCAGGAGCTCAGAACCTCCGGTCTGTTCCACCTTTATTACGCACTGAACCTAAAAATTCCGCACTGAACCTAAAAATTCCTTAAATACGATAGGAGGGGTGGAATCGGGAGGCAAGTTCCGCAGAAGCTCAGGGCCCCTTCCGCAGAACCTCAGTGCCCCCCCGGCCCCTTCTGCAGAATGTCAGAGCCCCCAGCCCCTTCCGCAGAAGCTTAGAGCCTCCGATCTGTTCCACCTTTATTACATCCTGAACCTAAAAATTCCTTAAATACGATGGGTTAAGACGATGGGAGGGGTAGAATCGGGTGGTAGGTCCCCTTGATTTGGACCAATGGGTTAAGACGATGGGAGGGGTAGAATCGGGTGGTAGGTCCCCTTGATTTAGAACAATGGGCTAAGACAATGGGAGGGGTAGAATCGGGTAGTAGGTCCCCTTGATTTCAAACAATGGGTAAAGACGATGGGAGGGGTGGAATCGGGTGGTAGCCCATTGTCTACCCCTCCCATCGTCTTAACCTATTGTTCCAAATCAAGGGGACCTAAGACAAGTAATTCCCAATGTTCCGCTTTCTCCTTCCCCAAAAACTCCCCCAATTGTAATTTTACCGGAGTAGACCATTCCCGACAAAGATATTTAGATGGAGACGTGTGGGCTCACCTAACTGTGAGCGTAATGGGGGCCTCCTCAGCCACAGGATGTGGAGATGGCAAAACTATTTGGGTTTTGGGATCAGATTTTTCAGACTTGGTGCTGTGTCCATACCTTTGGATCCCATAATTCTTCTACTTGGGGCTCCTGGACTGAAGAACATCTTCAACCATACCGTGTAGATGGGGGTAGGTGAACTCCGGCCCTCCAGCTGCGGTGCAACTACAAGTCCCATGAGGCACTGCAAGACAGCCACGACTTCCAGAGACAGATGCATGATGGGATTTGTGGTTTTACTACAGCAGGAGGACCAGAGTTTGCCCACCCGTGGTGTAGCCCCATGTCCTCCTTTGTGTCCTCATCACTTTCCTGCGGTTACTTTGTCCTAACGGGTGACGTTCAGTACACAACATTAAGCACTCTGCACTCTGTATTTTTATTCAATCGTCATCCTTTAATAGAATTTAAAAAATAAACTTTACACACTCATTTGGTAAAAAGAAGAACAAAGTATCAGTGCCACCGAAACCAAGACGTTCCTCCTCTCCACGACGCTCACAATCCACTCTCACCAGGTATCAGTGCCACCGAAACCAAGACGTTCCTCCTCTCCACGACGCTCACATTCCACTCTCACAGGTTAAGAAATAAGTTAGAAGCCCAAAGCACACAGGAAGCACCCTGAAAGAGAAACCGGAGCGTTGTTACTGCAGGAAGTACAGTGTACACCTTGCATCTGTCACTGCTGAGAATATATACCAGTGACCCCAAAACAGCAGCCCTGGGCCCAACGCTGGGGCACCATTCCCCCTCCCACTGAAAGCAACAACGGGGTACCATTCCTCCCACTGACACCAACCATGGGGCACCATTCCTCCTCCCACTGACACCAACCATGGAGCACCATTCCTCCTCCCACTGACACCAACCATGGGGCACCATTCCCCCTCCCACTGACACTAAAGACGGGGCGCCATTCCTCCCCCCACTGAAAGCAACAACGGGGTACCATTCCTCCCACTGACACCAACCATGGGGCACCATTCCTCCCGAGGACACCAACCATGGGGCACCATTCCTCCCGAGGACACCAACCATGGGGCACCATTCCTCCCGAGGACACCAACCATGGGGCACCATTCCTCCCGAGGACACCAACCATGGGGCACCATTCCTCCCGAGGACACCAACCATGGGGCACCATTCCTCCCGAGGACACCAACCATGGGGCACCATTCCTCCCGAGGACACCAACCATGGGGCACCATTCCTCCCGAGGACACCAACCATGGGGCACCATTCCTCCCGAGGACACCAACCATGGGGCACCATTCCTCCCGAGGACACCAACCATGGGGCACCATTCCTCCCGAGGACACCAACCATGGGGCACCATTCCTCCCGAGGACACCAACCATGGGGCACCATTCCTCCCGAGGACACCAACCATGGGGCACCATTCCTCCCGAGGACACCAACCATGGGGCACCATTCCTCCCGAGGACACCAACCATGGGGCACCATTCCTCCCGAGGACACCAACCATGGGGCACCATTCCTCCCGAGGACACCAACCATGGGGCACCATTCCTCCCGAGGACACCAACCATGGGGCACCATTCCTCCCGAGGACACCAACCATGGGGCACCATTCCTCCCGAGGACACCAACCATGGGGCACCATTCCTCCCGAGGACACCAACCATGGGGCACCATTCCTCCCGAGGACACCAACCATGGGGCACCATTCCTCCCGAGGACACCAACCATGGGGCACCATTCCTCCCGAGGACACCAACCATGGGGCACCATTCCTCCCGAGGACACCAACCATGGGGCACCATTCCTCCCGAGGACACCAACCATGGGGCACCATTCCTCCCGAGGACACCAACCATGGGGCACCATTCCTCCCGAGGACACCAACCATGGGGCACCATTCCTCCCGAGGACACCAACCATGGGGCACCATTCCTCCCGAGGACACCAACCATGGGGCACCATTCCTCCTCCCCCCTCACACCAGCCATGGGGCACCATTCCTCCTCCCACTGACACCAACCATGGGGCACCATTCCTCCCGAGGACACCAACCATGGGGCACCATTCCTCCCACTGACACCAACCATGGGGCACCATTCCTCCCACTGGCACCAACAACGGGGCACCATTCCTCCCAGTAACAGTCCTTGGTGCCCCTACCATGCCTGAAGGATCTTCACGTTTTTAACTTTGTAACTCTCCCATTCAATATAAACTCTCAGAACCTTCCCTGTGAACAGAGGTTGTCCTCTCACATTTCCTGACTTCCATATCACCTTCACCCATAGAAGTGGTGGCATCTCCCTACACTATCCCCCTCCTATTGACAAGCCGAGCGCTCCTGTTTAGGCTTGTGACCGGCACTGGTGACTCCTTCCTCTGTGGAGTAAAGGGAAGGCAGGTTAGGCCGGGGTCAGCCCAGTCGTACAGGTGAGGGTGGTGACCACCAGGTGAGGGTGATGGTTTGCAGATGTCTCACCTTGGCACCAGTCTATGGTCAGCCTATCACCACATGCCATACTAACAACATCAGCATTATGATGGCTTACCAAACACTCCATTGCAATGACGAGGTCACACCTTGAACCCCAGCGCCCTCATACACTCCTTGTGCGCGTCGATCAGACCCTGGCAGTGCTCTTCACCCTTCTCAATGATGCTGGACAAAGACAAGACAGAGAGGCAGAGATCAGATTGGATAGACTGATGGCTGCAGACGCCACAACTACTACAGTCAGAGAACAGCTGATGACGGGCAGCTGAGGTCGTATGCTGGAGCATGGAGTGCAAACTCTCCATAGGATTGTCTGCGATGGTTCTCCTTCATCCAGGTCATGGTAGAACTGTAAAAAATAAATCTATTGCGTAGGATGCACGGGCCTGGCTGGGAGGATTTCGATAAGGGCCGGTAGCACCAACAATGATCCTAGAAGAGATTTCCTCTCACTTCCTGTTCTGTCTCTGGGACAGGAAATGAAGGGAATAGCCTCAATGGGACACAGGGGGGTTAAATCCTTTCCCAGTAGATCAAAAATGAAATAGAAAAGGTTTTGGGAAACAGATACAATGTAACGCGCCGCCATTCCGCTCACCAGGTGTCCCGGGCCTTCTTGGTCTCTGGACAGGCGCAGCATGCCTTCAGCGGCTTCTTCTCCTGCGCGTCGGAGGTCGCGGGAGCCGACTCGCAGCTTGCAGCAGCCAGACTGGACATTGTTCTACCGCCGCGGATAACACCTGAAGAAAAGGAAACAACGCGACCTCTATTTCATATCATCAAATGATTCTCATCACAGACATTCACACACATCGCTTAGCGGGTCTATTTATAAACCCGGTGAATATCTGAACGTTCATCGTGTGTGAATAATGATAAAAGCGAACGTTCTCAATATATTTTTTTTGCAGGTCGAATGTATTGTCATGTAATACAGCACTATGGCCACTAGATGGAGCAGAGGCGCAATACTTATTCCCCATGCTCTTCAGTTCCATCCAGTGTCCATAATGCAGTATTACATCACAATACATTCAACCTGCAAATACTGCACTATGGACACTAGATGGCGCTTAGGAGCATCTATACAGGTCAAACATATTGTCATGTAATACTGCACTATGGACCCTAGATCGAGCCTGGGAGCATGTTTTCAGGTCGAAGGTACAGTCATGCAGTACTGCACTATGGACACTAGATGGAGCTGAGGAGCATCTCTTCAGGTTGAATGTCATATGTAATGTAATGAAATACTACCGTACATTAGGAACACAGGAAAAAAATACCTATTTTCTATGCTTTTCAGCGCCATCTAGTGACCATAATGCAGTATTGCATGACATTAAGTCCATAAAGATGCTCCCAGGCTCCATCTAGTGGCTATCATGCAGTATTACATGACAATGCATTCAACCCATAAAGAAGCTCCCAGGCTCCATCTAGTGGCTATCATGCAGTATTACATGACAATGCATTCAACCCATAAAGAAGCTCCCAGGCTCCATCTAGTGGCCATAGTGCAGTGTTACATAACACTACATTCAACCTAAAAAGATGCTCCATCTAGCGACCATAAAGAAGCTCACAGGCTCCATCAAGTGGCTATCATACATTATAGCCACTAGATGGAGCCTGGGAGCATCTTTTTAGGTTGAATGTAGTGTCATGTAATACTGCACTATGGCCACTAGATGGAGTAGAGGAGCATTGTTATGGGTTGAATGTAGTGTCATATAACACTGCATGATAGCCACTAGATGGAGCCTGGGAGCATCTTTATGGACTAAATGTCATGCAATGTAATACTGCATTATGGCCACTAGACGGAGTCTTGTAGCATTTTTATGGGTTGAATGTATTGCTATGTAATACTGCATGATGGCACTACATTCCACCTATAAAGATGCTCCCAGGCTCCATCTAGTGGCCATCATGCAGTATTACATAGCAATACATTCAACCCATAAAGATGCTCCCAGGCTCCATCTAGTGGCCATCATGCAGTATTACATGGCAATGCATTCAACCCATAAAGATGCTACAAGGCTCTATCTAGTGGCCATAATGCACTATCACATGGCAATACATTTGCCCTACAAAGAAAATATATTGAGAACCTCCGTTTTTGTCATTCCTGGCACCAAACGAATGTTCCCAGATATCCACCGGACAAATCTCTGCATATATAAATCCATTCAGTAAAGTCTAATTCCACTTTTAACACCACGTTACACCCATATTTAGAGTACAATATGGAACATGGTGCCGTTCCGCAGCCCTTCACCCTCAACCCCCTCCCCCCCCTTTACCCAGGGCGATTTTACCAATAGGCTACTTTGTATTTTCGAATTCGGCACAACTACGTGGACAGAGGGCCTTTTACTTCTCAATAGAGACTGACGGTCCCTACCTCCGTATAGACTCGGGGTTGGAAGAATAGTCTGCAGGAGCCAGAGCATTGCTCCTGCGATCCAATGATGACGACTAAATGATTTACAGTCTCCAATGCAAAAGAAAACCAATAAATGCA